ACAAAATAAAATTCTTTAATTCTTCAAAGAAATCCTGAAAAGATTGAACCCCAGACTATTTACACACAATAGAACTTCATTTTAATAATAGCTTCACATGAAGCTTAAAACTTAAAGACTGAACAGTATCTTTGTGGACCCTGAAATAAGCTTGTCTATTCTGTGTAAGGTTTTCAAACTGAAAGTTCTTGTTGTGGAATTAACATAAAAACCTTTCATTTCTAATTACCTCCTTTTACATATTTACTACTTTTAACACTATTCTGTGTAGAATCTTGACTTCAAGAAGCCAATGTTTAATGTAAGTTTACACTTCTCTTGAGACCTTGACACTTACTCTACATAACAGTAGTTCAGAACAGTCAGTTAGTAAAAAAAATGGCATTGCTCTGCAGCTGTATATTTTCAAGGGTTAGGGTTATGCCAAAACAGAAAAGGTTTGAGGTAAACAGTAGGGAAAACCTTTTTGAGCATCTCCAGCTTCCAGAGAAGTATCATAGTAAACACATCTTGTAGTCAACATCTCAGAGTGAACATGTCTTTCAAGTCCATTGACCTATACAAGAGCTATACCTAGATCTTTTACAATATATAAAATTCCCATTGTCTTTGCAAGAGTTATATTCATCTTTCTTTAATGTAAGCTTTGTTAAATTGTTGTTTTTCTTTTCAATTTTGTGTTTTGAGCATTAATATTCATGGAATGTTTGAATAGTTTTCTTACCATTTTTTCCCAGCTGGAGCTGTCTTTTAAAACTGGGGACATTGTACTCATCTATGGGGACATGGATGAAGATGGTTTCTACACAGGTGTAGTCAATGGCCAGCAAGGACTAGTGCCATCAAACTTCCTACAGCCAGCACCTCTTTCTGACGACGAGGGTCTAGAGAGTGTCAGTGTGGTCTCTGCTACAAGGTCGAGGTAATAACTTTTAACAATTAGGATTGCTCAATGACAAACAAAACTGTAGTTTTCAATGTCCACTGTTTGAAATAGTCATGCTTATAGTTATGATAGGCATTAAGCCATGGAATTGAGAATCTATTGTAGTCAGTAGTCAAGTACTTTTGATTTTTATAACTAGGTGGGGTTTTTTTGTTTTTTTTTCATTAAACAATTTCATTTTGTCTGAAGTCTCATAACTTTGAATCCTATTTGATTTGTAATTGTGAGGGAACAACATTGGGAAGCAATAAACATTCTAAAAAAAGTGTAGTCAATTTTATTTCAAATTGTTGATCTGAAGTATTTTTGTTACTTTAGTATATAAGCAATAACAACCTTCGGTTGACAAACTTTCAACTGCAAATCAATTTTCTGATATAGGCTTTATTTATATTTAGCTTCAGCCTAGTATTAGTCTTTCTGTTATCTACTAATTATTTATTTACTTTTTCATTTAATTCACAGCTTTTTTTACCTTATTCTAACTCTGTGTACTAATTTAAAGTATTGACTAATATTTTAGCTCTTTATCTTTTATTTCTATTTACTTTTGATTCAAATGTGTACAAAGATTTTTCACTTGCTATTTTGACTTTTTTTTTTTTAATTACTGAATCACTTTCAAAAACTGAATATTTCTTGATTTCATTACAAATATTTATTTAAAATCTTAATGTACGTCTTTTAGTTTCTGCACATATTTGGTAAAATTGAGTTTATCAGAGCTATTATAGTAAGTTTTAAATGACAAATGTATAAAATTTAGACCCCCCCCCCCCCCCCCCCCCCCCCCCCAAAAAAATAATTTAGTTTTTAGACTTACAAATCATAAAAAAGTAAAGTTTAAAATCTTGTTGTCTAAAGGGCAGATGATGTAAAGGTCATCTGATTCTGTGGCCTACGGTTAACGAGGGTGTCATGTGGCCAGCACAACGACCAATCGCCTTTACTTTTCCCCAACTAATGTCAGGTACCCATTAGAGCTGGGTAGACTCAGAGACGCCAAGGATACCGAAATAAAATCATACATACTTTTAATAGCTTTAAAATAAAAGTAAGGTTTAAAAATACTCAGGTTCCCAGGTGGGGGCCTGTTCTTTTCAAAAATTAAAAAAATAATAATAAAATAGCTAAACATATCTGGTTTTCACTAAAAGGAAAGTCTCCATGCTCTTGTTCTTGTTCTGAATGAGACATGATGAGCTCTCCTTATAAGCAAGTTTTTAAACAAATATTAATAGTATCCCAACACACCCTACCCATTAGGCTAATACCATAATAAAAAATGCATCCAATCACAATAGGCATTATTGGGTTAAATAGTAGCCTAAGAAAACTTTCTAATGAAACAAAAAGTTGCATGCCATGAACTGATTGTATCAGTTAAAAGACTGCTTAAAAAGCAAAGAGACCTCAATTATTTTATTCATCTCAAAAGTCTAAACACTTTGGTGTAAAAATGATATGTACATTCTCACATAGGTCTGGTGAGAGTTTAGATGCTGCCCTGAGTGCTCTAGGAAGAACTGATGTGACTGCTAACGTATGTGACACCAAACTTTATACTTTGTCTGCACCTCAAACCTTTGGTCATTTTTAGCTCATTTTAATATGCTGTTGCCAAGCTCAATGCATACATTTACTAAAAACCTAAATAATTGAAATGGACAATCTTAAAGACAGTTTTTTAATATAGATAATAATGACAGGAAATAAACAGCAGGTTTAAAATAATTTATCTAGAAGTAAATATTTTGCTACAAATAATTGATTTTATGTTACTTGAAATGTCTGGTTTGTCAGTAAATGTATGTAAACTTGGCAATATCAAGCCCCTTACCCTCAATTTGGTTTGTTGTTTTTTTTTTGGAACATTTTTTCTTATCACTGCTTATTTTTTTGTTGAGGTGTTTGTGTAAATTTATTGATGTTAACAGCTTACTTAATTGATACCAATGCCCTATTTTATTGTGTAAACATCTTACCTTATTGATGCTGACATCTTACTTTATTGATGTTAACATCTTACATTGATGATTTAACTTCGCTAGCTTAAGATTTTATGTCTTTCATTTCTTGTCTGTGATTTTCATCTGTTTAATAAATTGTATTCTATGTTGCATAGTAAAGGGATCAAAGAACCTTTTGTCCTGATGCTGAATTTGTATTAGTATTACATTTGCATTATGTTGTCTCTTTGATTTGGCAATATTGCATTCTTTGCTGTTGGGAACTTCTGGGGTTTCATTTCTTCCTATTTGAAAAACCATTATTTGAATATTAAATCATTATTGTATCATTGTACATGTCCAACACAAGCCACAATCAACTAATAACTTAAGTTTATTTTAATGCCTTAAATAGTTAAATAATTATTAAGTGTTTTTCTTAACAAGGTTTTCATTAACAATTCTACAAACTAAAAGCTAAATGAGTTTTACTCCACTTTAAAATAATTAAGATAGAAAGTGCGCATTATCATCTAGTTCTAGTTGAATGTACTTCTAGAAGCGACATTGCTTTTGAATAATAAAAGTTAAAGTGTTGCTGTCATTGTATCTTTCCTAGCTTGCATGTTTTGGTTGGTAGCTCACATTGACTTCACACTCTTTATCTTCATGACCATTCATTTTGCTCCAGTTAGATTTTGATGACTGCAAAATCAAAGAGAACAAGAAAATAGTGAAACGAAATTTGATGTACTTATTTCTTTCAATGACTTCTGCTCCATTCAAATAAATTTGATATTATATTTCAACTTTGATAATTTTTTATATACCACAAATCCAATAAAAGTCATTTGTTTTGTTTTTTTCCATCTAATTAATGATATCTTCAAAACCTTTAGTAAAATTTTATTCAAATGAAATTTTGCTCTAGTTTGATTACAATGTAGTTTGAACTTTTTAAAAATAAAATATAGCTGTATAATAAAAGTTTTTATAGCCTGCAATTTTATTTTTGTATGTTTTTCTATCTGTGCAGACTCCAAGATTAAGTGATCCATTGGCTTCCAGATCAGAGTCCACTGGATCAAGCAAGCAAGTCACAAATGTCAATGCTCCAGAAGGCAACAAGTCAGCTGACAACTCCAGGCCAGGGACAGCTAGTCCAGCTGAGGAAGAAAAACCAAAGAAAAAAGGTTTTCTAAATAAAAGCAAAAACATCTTTAAAAAATTCACCAGATGAGAACATACTGGCATAATAGTGAAAACTGGTGCAATTGAGTTCAGATTTCATTTTATATTTGGAGTTTCTTCATATTAATGATGAGTCATACTTTGATAGACTTGCCCATGCAAAAATAAGACTATGTGAAGGATAAATAATGAATAAAACTCAAACCCTGCTGCCTGTAAATGAAGACAAAACATTTGACACACTTCAATGTTGTGTAGCTCAAACTCTCAGCACATTCCTCAGTGTGACAGTTTCTTGTAGTAGAGAGAATGAACTAGATATTTCTGGCTGTAAACTAACATCTGTAATGTGTAAGTTTCTTGGCATAAAGTTTGATATGCCCTGATCTATGTGAGACGTGAGATTTAAAATGAGTTTTGGGACTGTGATGAAATATATGCTTTCATGTGTAACACCCTCTAAGGGCTTAAGCAGACCATCCCTAACTCAAAAGTTGAGTGGCTGAGTTCTACAAGTAGCGCTGACTGTCTTGACAGTTGGAGTAGTTCTTCTAATGTCACCATTTACATTCTGTTTATTATATTGTGTAGACTCCAAGACTAGAGTTCAAAGCTTAGAGAAATAATTAAGCTGTTTTAAATTAAATAGAGGAAAATTTTATTAGTGTTCTGCCATTAAAAGTGAAAAATTTATCTTGTGATCCATTGGGCAGGTTATCATGGGATTGCCAAAGTATGCTGCTATGTTTAGTGTCATTCCTTAGATATTAACATGAAATGTAAGCAACAACGATGGGAATGTAACTCTGTTTGTTTCTGTTCCAATAATATTGATTTGTTCTATAAGATAACACTATTGTTTTAGTTATTACTTCCTTTACTTTGTAATGTTTTTTAATGTTTTTGAAAATATTGACTATTTTTTTAAATCTTTTTTGAGATTTTTTATTTTTTTTTCACTTTTTTAGCCTTCATTTTTTTTTTTTTTGCACTACCTTCAAAAATATTTTTAGTCTTTTTACCTTTTGTTATTAGCTCTTTAAGAACTAAACCTGTACAAGAAATAAACTGTTCTCCCAATATTTATTCTATGTTAGTCTTTGTATAAGTTGAAATCAGTTTTGTCATCTTTCATCTAGTACTAAACAAGAAACAGCATACCTTCCTTCACCACCTCACCAGCCATAACAGTGAAATCCATAGAATGCTTTAACTAATAGTATGTATATAATGCTATCATCATTATTATTCTCCAATATGTATTTGTTTCTAGAATAAAACATTCCTTTCTCTGTTTTCTTACTGCCAGGATTACTGACACTGGTGTTGCCAAATCCTAATCATAACTTGCCAGTCAAAAGTTGTCATTTCATGTGATGAATTTCATAATCAAATTCCATGTTACTTTCCTCAAGCTGTGCATGTGTTTACTTGACATTCCTTCATGTATGTGTGAATGCTTGCATGTGTGAATGTGTCAAGCCAAGCAATGGTTGCCATCACTTTATAGATACATTATTGAGTAATATTCGGTTTATGTTCAAGCATCCAAAGAGTGTTTATTTATTTGTTGGCCAAGTTCTGGTCAGCACTGCTGCTCTAAATCTCCTATGGTGCAACCCTGACTCATAATAAGTGTACATTATGGTATTTATTGTTTTTGTTAACACAGCTGGTTGTTTGGTAGGCAATTAAGGTTATCAACATAATGAATCAAAGTTTAAATTCTGGCCAAGGTTATTCCTTGGCACCCTTTTTTATGAGATCTAAATAAAATTGTCCTCTTTCTAGAAATATCTGTATTTAAGACTAGCCTATTTCCAGTATATAAAACATTGAGCTCAACTCAACTCTGATATCTCAAGTTTAGACAAATGTTTCATTCCAATGTACAGTTATAGTAATCACTTTATTTTCTAGAATGAACAAAACTATTTATAATAAAAGCTTAACAAAGTTACACAAAAAGCCATTGAATTATCTTCTTATCTTATCTTTTTCTGTTGGCCACAAGAGAATATTTATTACAACCAGATATCTCACAGTCAAGATAGTTCAAGTGTAAGCCATTAGTTTCAAATGATTCTTATGTGTTTCGATTTTATATTTAAATGTTAGTTTTGTAAGCAAGGAAATATTTCTACATTTCTTGACAGTGTGCATCACTTGGTAACATCAGTGCTGAACATCTAACTACATTGTACTCATATGAATTCTGGCTTTAACACTTATTAATCAACGTCTGACTGAGTTGCATTACAGCAATAAAGCTTAATGATTATAATTTGTATCTTAGAAAATAGTTTTTGTTGGGGTTTTTTTTTAAATTTTATTTCTTTTAAAGTTTAGACCAATCATTTACAATGTAATTTATGGAAAACAATGAAATATTTTTTTATGTTGTTTTATTTTTCATAAAACTTTATCAATGTATGAAAGTTAATGAATTGTTTACACTTCAACTGCAACTGACTTCTACTGGTTGATGTAAAACTTTAAATCATTAACTTTTGCTTCTAGAACTCTAGTGGGTGCTTCATAGCCATATGATTATGTTTCTGAGTATTTGTGTCCAAGAGTAACAGACTTAATTGTGTTCTGTATCTTTCCCATAGCCTTTGTAATGTCACTGACCCTTAAATACAGACATGATTCATAAATATCTATTCATATATAAATATAATATATACATCTCAAGCATAAACTGAATGAAAATATTTGGTGAATAAAGAAAATCAAAATATTTTTAAAATTCATGTGATGAGTTTTTGTTTTTTCTATTAATTTGTAGAATTCTTTCTGGTCAATGTTGTGTTTTTTCTTTTACATTGTAGAATTCTTTCTGGTCAATGTTGTGTTTTTTCTTATACATTGTAGAATTCTTTCTGGTCAATGTTGTGTTTCTTCATTTTACGTTGTAGAATTCTTTCCGGTCAATGTTGTGTTTCTTCATTTTATGTTGTAGAATTCTTTCTGGTCAATGTTGTGTTTCTTCATTTTATGTTGTAGAATTCTTTCTGGTCAATGTTGTTTTTGTAGAATTTTTTTAAAAAAAGCTTATCTAAGGGAAAGAACTGCACTTACCTAAATCTGTCAATAATTGATTAACTTTTTTTTTATTGATTCATATCTTGTCTACGCCAAGGAATAATTGTACAAGAATACAGGAATGGGTGTTGGAGAAAACGTGTATACCAGACAGGACCAGATTTCAGGCTGGGGGTCACAAAAAAGGGGGCCTTCTCAAAGGAGATTTTAAAAGTCTCAAAATGTAGACGGTTTATCAACTTTTAATTATTTTTTTTTTTTTTTGCGTATTTTTACAAACACTACTTTAAATCTTATGATTGACAAGCATTGCTGCAGACACCTTTCTGTCAACGTTAAGTGTGTGTTAACGTAGTATACTATTACACATGAGGCTGGTTACTATTAGTGTGTCGCGAATGTCGTAGAATGCTGGGTTCGTGCTTCCTGGAGTCGCACTTGACACGTGACAAACATAGATATTACAGACTGACTTAAATCCACTTTGGCAGACAAAATATAAAGTTTTTTTGATGACAATAGTAATACCGCTCTTCTTGGCAGTTACATGATCCAATAAGAAACAAAGTCACATCCGCATGACAGCGATATCAAATATATCCAACATGTCAAATTCTCCAAAATAGACTTCAAGTAACGTCCGCATCACGGCGGGTACCAAATACTTCAATAATAATAGTACAGAATAAAATCTGCTTAAAAGATACTTATTAACTCAAAATTACTACTCTGTCACTACTGTCCGTACCGGACCAAAAGATACTACTGACTGCCCCAGACCAAAGGACTGACTAAAAGTAAATTTAGTCATTCTTACTTCCTGTTTCTAAATCAGGAGTTTCACGTGTCTTTTCACCCTCTTAACCCGAGGTGAACATTTAACAGGCAATGTCAACCGAGACTGTGACACTTTCCCATTTCTTTTTTTTTTTGGTCATTTTAAAGTGTAAATTTAGGTTACTGGCAATAGTTTATCCCAGGTAGGTACATTCCTTCACCAACGTAAGGATGTTATTTCCGATACTTCTGTCACGTCTTGTGACAGAGTTTCTGTCTTGCTGAACTAAGCTCTTGATGTGCATCTGCCAAAGCATGTACCTCCCTTTGTAATCCTTCTTGCGAATGGGAGGTGAGTGCCACATCTTCAGCGAACAACAGTTTTCATTTTGGCTTTAAGTTGAGCCAGGTTAAAAAGGCTTCCATCGAATCTATTGTGGATATGTACTTCATCCTCCAGGGATTTAAAGGCGCTGACGATTACAACCAAAAAGAAGATGCCGAATAGTGTTTGGCTAGAACACATCCTTGTTTCTATAGGAATCCCAACTCCTACGGCGGTTTTCCAACATGCAAGCTACTCTCAATTCCTTTACAGAGGGCGTTTCGTTTAATTCATTCAAAACTGCAAGTGTTGAGAAGTTAGACAAAGCTTTTAGCAAGATAGCATCTATGATCTATCTGGTCGTTTGCAATTTTGCATAATGCTCTACCCATCGCTCTATTTGCAGTGTACGAACACTGGTGATCATGCCATCTTTTGACTAGACTAGAGTGTTACACTCTTCATGCTGGTCTGAGGTTCAATGGCATTTTTTGTTGTTGTTATTCTGATGTTGCTAAGTTAGCAAATGATTGACAAAACTCACTAAGCAAGTCTGGGAAAATGCTAATCTGACCATGGCAAACAAAATGCTAATCTGCAACGCCTGTATTGGGAACTTTCTTCTGTACGATTAGCCAGAGCTCGTCAACACACATGCACCAAGGGCATAAATTAAACAGTTTTCACTTGAGCTGATTGTGGCTCATAATGTGTATCTCCTGGAGGGATCTTGTTTCTAATAAGAAAGTTTTAACACTATCCATACGCACAGCAGCTATGATCTTTGGACACAGAGAAGACTACGTTGGTTTGGACATGTCACCCACATGTCAGAATTCCTTAGGACATCCTCAATGCTATGCTTGCTTAGGGAGTCAGGCTCAAGATAATCACATACATACAGAGATGTCTGCAAGCGAGATCTGAGGACTACAGTCATCATAGAAAGCATGTGATAAGAAAATCTCGCACTGACTGTACAAAAACTTTGCCTCTGTCCCAGACCGTCTACACACACAGGTACTGTTCTGACTTCGCCTCGTACTGGTCATATTTCGAGATAACGTGAAGTCCTTTATAACAGTGCTAAAATTGCATATAAACAATTGTAACTTTTTGTTTAAGTAGGAAAATTAGATACAATGTATAACTATTCCATGTCTTTCCTCTAAACTATGGCAGCTTGCTATTAGATACCAGGATGATTAGTAATAAGTGTTAAAAGTGGATTTGTATTAAAGCTTTCAAAAAAACGTATGTGCCTCCACAAAAATTCTGACAGACAGATAGACAGGGTTGATATAAAAATACAATCTAATTGATAGTTCCATACAGTCCCATAGATATTTAATACTAAATAACAAATTGTAATCTTATCTTAAGAAATACAGATGTTACTTCAAAAAAGATTATGTCTTGCATGTTAATCAATATAAATTTAATAATCAATTTAGTGATCTTTAAAAAAAATTATTATAATATCTTGTCATGCTGCAGAAGCTTATGTGCGAGATTTGAGCTCCATAGGAGAATGAAAAGTTAAAAAAAAAATAATTCAAATCTTTGGGAAAAATGTAAATGTTATATATATTTCGGATGTTCCTTCAAAGTTGAATATAATTTACTTCCTAGACCAAGCCTCCCTTCAGGACAACGGGGGATGGGAGAGGGCGGGGTTTGAACCCAAGACCATCGATAAGTCTGAACAACAGTCCAGCACACAAACTGCACTACTACTCCCATATCTTTCAGCACTGCAATGTATATCTCCCTTTTTTATATATAAAAAAATTATTTAATAATCACTAGTGAATTAACTAACTAGTTAGTTTTATGAATAATTCATGTGTTGTCATCGACAATGAATAATTGTGCAGTCAACTTGATCCAAGAGGGGGAAGTGGGAGAAATAATGTGTACAAGATTTCACCTGGGTTAAAAAAATACAAACACACTTTCTATTTACTGTTTTAATTCTCAAGAATGAAACAAAATAATTTTATATTTCAAAACAAACAATTGCAAGACACTATAAAAATTAAAATAGTTTCAATGTCATATAATTACATTGTATGTATATACAATTAGACATTTGGCTGCATCAGTAAAAAAAAATATGACAAATAACTATTTACATGTGGGAAATATATTTAAATACAAATGTATATAAGTATTATATAAGTCACAGCCTAGATAAACACAGGAGGTAAGTAACTAGTACTTTTGAAAATACAAGAATTCTGTGTTGAGCACATGATAATGAGACATTTTGTTTTTTCTCAATTTCAAACCTGCAAGTCAGAGAGAGAAGGAAGGGAGAGAAGCACAATGTTATGGAAGAGATGGAAGGAGGGGACGATTATTTGGAATAGTTTCTGAAATATTATTATATATATTTATATTATTTCTGGATACATTTTGATAGAAAACAATTGATTAGAAATCAATTTAGATATCTACATCAGCATTATGAAAGAGAATCTGCAATTTTTCAAAGATATACATAGGCAAGTGTGAACATAAGATTTAAGATGAACTTTTTTTTTTTTTTTTTTTATATTATTACAAAATTAAGTCAAAGACTTTTGTAATTGTAATTTATTTCAAAATCCCATCCACAACGCTTCAACTGGAGGCTATCTCCCACTTCAGTTTATGTTTAGCAGCAAGATCAAATAGTAGCCTATTATGTAGACTATGGCATGTCAATTATGTATGTCAACTTTTATAATAGTTTTTTTTTTTACTATAAAATATAAATGTTATGTCCTTTTATCTTTCCCTCTGTATCTGTATAAACTGTTGATCTACAACAGCCTTTTTGTTCATTAAACAGTCTATTGATTTTATGATTTAACACAGTTTTATTGTTCTTTAAAGACAAGAACATGTAGAGAATGCATTTTTTAGAAAAAAGTTACTTAGCTTAGGTTTTTTAGTATTGAATTAACACAATTATTATAACATTTTTGCTAAAAGCATAAAGAAATTTTTTCTTTATTCATGTTTACATTAAGCAGCTTGAGATCTTGTCAACTGTCTAAATTCATGTGTTAACTCAACAACGTGGGTCTACAAAGACTGACAATGGTCTAAATGGGATACTATTTACATACAGATTTGTTTTGTTTGGCCTCTCAGTAATTTCACTCTTGTGCAATCCTATTTCATAATACTGGGCTTGATTTCAGGGGGAGGAGCAGACTCATTCTGAGCTTCCATTTCTCTCATCTTGACTGTGTGCTCTATCAATGAGAGGCAGCAGAAGACCCAGTTGTATAACAGCATGGCTGGGATGGAGCCATACCTGCCAACTTCTCCATGAGGGATAGCTGCAAACAATGACATTGGTTTAGAATGGTGAATGGGAATAATATATGTGATAACAGACCATGAAAGAGAAAATAATAAAATTGATTCTAAGCTTCTTTTTCTTAATATTCTTATTTGTAATTAATTTTGGCTTTAAAAAAAATATACAGAATTAAAAAGTTGACAAAAGGTTAGAGTAAATGAAGTTCACTTAGGTTATAGGTTAAAGTTCTTTACTAACTTTAAAACTAATTTCTCAACAATTTAATAATAATTTGTTTCTAGTTAACAAAGTGTTGCATAGAAATCATTTAAAATTATAGGCACAACTTGAACTTGTCAGATGTCTATGTCTTTTTCTAAACCTCATTTGACTATTTTCAACTTGTTTATTCTATTTTTTTTATTACCTTATGAACTTCTTGATATACTATCTAAAGTCCTTAATTTAGTTACTAAATTGTTATATAAATCAATTTCAAAACAAAATTTAGCTACAGAAAATGACATAATGTTACTATGAAAGACACAATGTTCAGAAATGATAAGTAATTTGCAATCTAATTTCATATGATTCTCTAGTAAATTATTAAATTATTCTTTATGTTACCAAAAAAATGTAAAAAAAAAAAATGTAAAAAAATTAAATTAAAAAAAAAAAAGCTAATAAAAAGTAAAAGAAAAAAAGTTCAAAAATTGATGTTTTTTTTTCCTAATGGTTAGATGACTTAATTAGAATGTATATGCTGTCAAACCTTAATGAATGGAACAATGCACATTAGAAATTATCATCTATTGAGACTTTTATCATGTTGGAAACAAATATGGCAGTTACATACTAAAACTGTATATAATGCATTTTGGCATTAATGATAGACTGAAAATTGTACAAAGACAGCCTCAGAACTCACATTTAGACCTATTTGTGTAGATATCTCAATTGACTGGGACATGATTTTTTTTTTCTAAACTTTAGACAACTGGATCATTACAAAAGTCAAATATGACATTATATATATATATATCTCTAAGAAAACTGAATATTTATAAATCTCAATAAATTTGCATATTAAATTGATGCTTTTTTATATCATATCCAGATATATGGTCTAATAAAGATAAAAATTAAGGATATATATGAATTACAAAGATGCAATACCTAAGATAACAACAACAACAACAAAAGTATATCTGAATGTCATCTTTAGGACAAGCTTAAAATAGCTCAAAACAAAAAAAAATCACTAGAGTCTAAGCTATTCATCTATGAAATGAATTTATGCATTCCTATTAGTTTAGTACTACAATAGCCCTAGCTACTATTAGAGTTCATAGGAATTAGTTATTTAAAAGATTATTTCAAAATTTTTAACTTTCATATGTCTGCTTTGATTTGATAAGGGAATGCCAATTTTTCAACAAACAAAATAAATCAATAAAAATCTACAAATCTATTTAAAATTAATATAAATATTGTAAAACAAAATTCTTAAATTCTTAATAAATATTGCACTTACTGAAAGTGGCTAAAAACAAAAGCAAAGAAACAATTAATTTAGACTTCAGATCAAGCTATTGATATATTTTACATCATCAATCTTGACACCTTTTAGATCTTTACTCTTGTGAATTTCTAGATTTTTACTTCAGAATTACATTTTGTAAAACAAGGAATGCTTTATTGGTCAGTGATTATTATTTCTACAAGATTTATATGAATGTCTTGAACCTGTCACAGACAAGAACAAAAATTAGAAAGCTGGGATTTCAAAAATTAATTTAGAAAAACAACAGCTAAAAGTCCTGGCATGGAGATGTAAAGCACAGTAAAGATCAGAATGCAGAGATGTGCTAAAGCAGGCCAGGGCCTTTTAATGGGCTGTAGCACCACTGGGATGGATGGAAGCAATCTGGTAAATATGATTGTATTCATGTAGTTTATGGAGTTGCTAGGAGATATATAACAGAAGGAGGAGTTTAGAAAAAGATTTTCAGAGTTTTAATTAGGAATCAGTCAATTCAACCCACATTTCTTTCTTTCAACAATTGCACTATTTATCAAACTTGATCATTGTATTTGAAGAAACTTGTGTTCTTGTTTATATCATACACTTTGTTCAAACAAAGACCTAGTTCTCATTTTATCAACTAGTTCAAGCATACTCCTTGATTTGAATCTGCAACGATGTGCCAGCGGTTTTTTTTTAAATGACATTAAATAGGAAATTAAATAAGTTACCTCTCAGATATCTGGCAATTTTGTCTGTTTTTGCAAATTCTGAGGCTTTGGTTGGATCATAGGTTTTAATTTGGTGAATCAAGTTGGAGTGGATGTTCTGAAAAATATTAACAGTATTTGTTATTTTTTAATAGGATATTCTTAGATGAATGGAAATAGGTCCTATAACTCTTCTAAATCTAAAAGAAAACTTTACTTTCTAATACAAATGACTTACATTTTTGACAATGGGCCAGTCTTCATACTGACCCTCCCCTGCTCTTTCAATGTCGAATATCGCAAGGGCAGCTCGACATATCTCTAAGATGACTTTTGGAGGCTGGTAGTAGCTCTTAAGCTCAGCAAAGGCCATAATGTCGAGTTTAGAAACATTCTCTCTTAATTCCGCTAACATCAAACTGTCAAACATAATGGCCACTCTGCTGGCCTCATCATTTTCAGCATCTGAAACGTTGTAAATATAGAGAATTATTGAATTAAGATATAAATTTTCATAATTATCCATATTTCTTTTAACTTGTGAATATTTTTTAAAATTTTTTATTGTAAGCATTTATTTGTAGTCAGCAATTTCCCCATTTCAAACAAAACACAGGGCGGCTTTAGCTTAAAGAAACTTGAAACACATTTATGTCTGTGTCCTTTACCTAATATCTTCTTCTTTTCTTCTCCCTGTGATTCTTTAACAATTTCCTTCACTGCCTTCTGCAGCAGACGCAGCATTCTCTGAGCTTCTTTGTTCTCATGGGAGGGCAACTGTTTCATTTCACCGATGCTAATGTCCACAACACCTATAGCTTTACCTTCCAAGTCCCTGAGGGGTAATGCTGTGTGTCTCTCACCATAGGCGTCTGCACAGACTGTCTCAGAGTTCTCCATGCATTGGAACAAGTAATCTCTGAACAACAAGCAAAAAAATATTGAACACAAAAACTTTAGAAGAGAAGGTACATCATATGAACACTAAATGTATAGTTCAAATATTGTTGGCTGCCCACATACTATACCATCTGCATTGTAAAATAAATAAATACAGAAATATATAGAATATAGAAAGAATACTAGTATCAAAAAACAACAAAAATAAATATTACTTGATCAGAGCAATTGTATTTCATATCAATCAATAATACAAACAACCAAGGCAAAATAAAACCCCAATTGTCCATCAACAGTCAACTTCTTAATGTTTTTTTAACAACTTCTTATGACAACTTTTTCAGTAGACTTCATGAAATTAACCTGAGAAACATTTTGGTCAAAGATTCATTTCCAGTACGTCCAAATCATCCCTTTAGTCAATTATTAGTACTGAAGAGCTCTTGTAGTTTGCTTATTAAATTAAATATATGTACATTGATTAACTTATTAACTTTCTAGTATGTGTGTGCAATAATCTTCTGTAGCAAGGATTCTCAAGTCTTTTTTTATTGACAAATAAATTGTATTTGCTAAATTAATTAATAGATTATTTGTTCATAATCACCTGAATAAATTATCTTTTCTTTCAAGTCGAACTACTTCTGTAACATGGACCCCAGGTCCTTTTTTGGCCACCATCATCTTCCTCAGCACTGGATCTCTGTTAGGTAACAGGTTGGGTTCTACAAGGTAAATGATGATCTCCGTGATGTGAGGGCACCTCCGGTTCATCCAGGAAATGGCTGAGTCTGCCACACGCAGGAGTTTGCGCTTCATCTCAACAGTGTGGTAGGCAATGCTGAAGGCCTTAGCCACACCCTAATTTTTAAAAAAATAGGCTGAGTTTCAGGAAACAAGAAGAGTATTTGTATCTATAATACATAAGTAGAGTCATGTGTTTAGTTTTTTACTTTTAAAATCACCAGAAAATTTCACAAATTAAAAAAAAAAATTCTCTTTGCTATAAA